CACGCCGAGTTACATAACGTGGCCTGAGATATGTGTCACCCCCAAAGTGTTTTTTTATTTATCAGACATTCCCTGAACCGGAGAGACTGAAGACAGGAAGGGGAGAGGCTGAGGGGGGGCGGGGGGAGGCGCTGGCTGACCAGGGAGGAAAGGACTCTCCCAGGCTCCCACAGACCTGAGAAAGCAGGCGTTATCACTCTCACCCCAAGGGAGGGAACAAGGAGGCTCCCTCAATATCTACCGCTATCTTGGCAGTAGGGGCTGGGGGGAACTCTGAGTCCAGCGACTTGACTAGGGAGCACATACTGGATTCTCAGGATATCCCGGGAGCGTCACTATAGTGGGTCAGCAACCCAGCCCGTTGTAGAGAAGAGGAAGCTGATCCTTCTTGTGAAGAGGAGCAAGTTGATTCAGAAGCACCGTGGAAGGGAGTTCATGAAGATGCAGCAGCCCAACAGACAGTGGAAGAGGCAGGGTTCAAATCCAAAACCTAGAGCTCTGCCTAGCGACATTTCCCAAGGGCTTGGCAGGGCAGCGGGCAAGGGGTGAGGAGCAGGGAAGTGGCCCCCCCACAGGAGTTGAAATCCAGATTCACAGTAGGGTCTCAGGGTGTGGGTGACGTCAGTGGCCCAGGGATGAAGGCACACCCGCCCCTCGGCTGGGCTCTGAGGACAGTTTGTCCCAGCCCGTGGCTATTCGTCATTCTGCCTCTGACCTAAAGTGTAAATTTTCATTCATAAGTTTGAAACAACAAATTTGGCAGTGTGGGACGGGCCCTGGGAGATCAGCTAGTGCCGTCCAAGTCCCTCGCATTACAGATGGAGAAAAAATAAACCTCTGTGGCCCAAACAAAGCGTGGACATGGCAAGGTCACAGAGCAATTTTCTGCAGCGAGAAGGAGTCTGAGGTCACCGCCGGATCATTTTGTTCTGCAGTTAACAAACGTGGCCGTGCATCTGAATGACTTGGGGGAGCTCTGCAAAAACACCCATTTCTGCACGCTTCCTCTAGAGATTCAGACTTCGCATCGCCAAAGGACCTACTGCACACTCACTTCCGCCAGTGACTCAGATGGCACAGTCGTGGGAGATTGGAGTCCAATATTCTCCTCTCAAGGTCAGGTTTGGGACAGTAAATCCCCGTATGGGACTGGCCCCTGTGGCCAGTCAGTGGGGGCCCTTGGCCCGGATTTTGTGGGCTGAACCCGAAGCTCATTCTTATTCTCCTGGCGGCCCGTGTTCACATTCTCAAACTGGGCCAAGGAGGCTGGCCGAGACTTTCTGAGTTTTTCTCCAGCTCTTGGTTTCCTTGTTGGACCCAAATTTAAACAGAAGCTGCTACCATTTTATTATATTGTATTGTATTGGCTTTTTGGGTTACCCCTGGTGACGCTCAGGGGTTCCTCCTGCCTCTGCACTCAGGAATTGCTCCTGGTGGTGCTCAGGGGACCATATGGGATGCTGGGACCCCCGGGTCGGCTGCATGCAAGGCAAACACCCTACCTGCTGTATTATCGCTCCGACCCCAGCTGCTATCATTTTAGGGGTTCGGGAAAGGTGGAAATTCAAGAGCTGGGCCCCAAAAGGGAAAAAGGAAAGTGAAATATGCTGTCATGCAGGCCTGGTGGGGGTTTTCCAGTGGCTCAGGGATGATGTCATACGCTGAGCCTTCCAACAGGTCCCTGGTTCTACTGAGGTTTCCGGTTCAGGACAGTGAGTAGGGGAGGATCTTCCTTCTGAGGGAGGAGGCAGGGTTAGGGGGAGGCTAGGGGGAGGAGGAATGAGTTCAGGAACCTGACTCCAGCAGAAGAGAGGCATTCCAGCACTGGGAAGGAAGAGGAATTAATTTAATTCCCCTGCCTTAGGGGAATTAAATCTAACCTTGCAAGCACTTTCCTGAACTTTTCCTCCACCTCTTCTTAATCCCTCACCCAGAGCTCTTGAAGGAAGTCACTGCCTTTTTTCCACCTCTCCCCACTCTACCAATTCTTTCTTTCTGTTTTGTTTTTTGGGCCACACCCTGCAATGCTCTGGGGGATTACCCCTGGCTCTGTACTCAGGAATTACTCCTGGTGGTGCTCAAGGGATCCTATAGGATACCGGAGATAGAACGCGGGTGGGCTGTGTGCAAGGCAAGTGCTCTACCCTCTATTTATGTCTCTGGCCCCTGTTTTTTTTTTTTCTTTTTCCTTCTAGAATGCCTAGAATGGCATCTTATCTGGAGTCAGATGTTTGTTTCAGAGCTCAGCTTCCTGTGAGTTCTCTGGCCTAGGTAGAGTCACATTCCCTTCTCTGAGTTTCAGGATCTTTACCTGGGAAAAGGGAGCCAAATGGCTGGAGAAATGGCCCAAGAGACCAAGGGCATGCTTTGTGTGTCGTAAGGCGGCCTGAGTTCAACTCTTGGCACTGTATGGTCTCTTGAACGCATCAAGAAGTGACCTCTGAACATAGCCAGAGAGAGAGAGAGAGGAAGGGAGGGAAGGAGGGAGAGAAGAGAGAGAGGGAGAGAGAGAGTGGGAGGGAGGGAAGGAGGGAGGGAGGGAGAAAGAGAGTGGGAGGGAGGGAGGGAGAGAGGGAGGGAGAGGGAAAGAGAGTGGGAGGGAGGGAGGGAGAGGGAGAGTGGGAGGGAGGGAGGGAGAAGGAGGGAGGGTTGGAGGGAGAGGGAGAGAAGGAGAGAGAGTGGGAGAGTGGGAGGGAGAGGGAGAGTGGGAGGGAGAGAGAGAGAGAGAGAGAGAGAGAAAGAGAGAGCGCAGGGCCTGCCTTGCATGTGACTGTCCCCAGTTTCATTCCCAGCACTGCCAGGTGTGGTGGAGTGGTCCCCCACATCCCTTACCAAATAAATAAAAGGGGGATTTTGGGGTAGGGAGATAACTCAAAGGGCTGGCATGTATGTTTGAGGTCCCAAGGTCAGTCCTGGTACCATTTAGCCTCCCCGAGTACTGTCAGAGTGGTCCCAGTACCCCACGCAGCTTTTGGGCCTGAGCAGCACTGTGTCACTGGGCTTTAGCAACAGAACCTTTGGCCTGGCCGCGAATGGCTCTGGGGTCCTCTAAGCTCTGCTTGGGTGGCAACCCCCAAATACAAGTAAATAAAAAATTGAAAGGGGGAAGAGCAAGAGAAATGATCCAAGGGTTAAGTCGTAGGCTTACATATCACTGACAGGGGTCTGAATCCTGGCATCACACATGGTACCCCGTCAGGAGTGATTCCTGATGTACCCCAAACTACCCCTCCCCAAATAAAAAATAAAAAGGGGAATCATGCCTATCTTCTTAGATTATAAAACTGGAATAAGATCACACGGGTCTTATCACAGGAGCAACTTGGGACTGGAGAAATGGCTCCACACACAGATCAAGCTTTGCAGAGGTGGCCCTGGTTCTATCCCTAGCATCGCAGCTTTCCTTAAGCATCTCTGGGATCAACTCCCAAGCACAGAGCCCGGAGTACCATCCCACAGGCACCAACAGACCAATATTACCCAGAAAAAGCCTTAATAAAGAGGAGTTATTTCCTCAGAAACACTAAATTGTGTGAGTAGTCAGTAGATTAGAGAGATTTAAATATATATTCGTTTGTTTGGGGGTCCCACTTGGCAGTGTTTAGAGGACCACCTAATGTTGATGAGTGAGCTGTGTTCCTGCGTGCAAAACATGCATTCCAGCCCCTCTAGCGATCTGCTGGACCATGAGTATATTTTTGTTTTGTTGAACGGAACTGACGAACCCAGAATGAATAAACTGGAAAGCACCGAATAAGTCTTTGGGCTTTAATGACTTCCAAACAGGAGTTGCAGCGAGCTGTTTACAGAGAATTTTCAAATGATAAGGGAAATCACATAGTCTTGATAAAGTTTCAAGTTTCTTTACTTTTGTCTGGAATTGTATCAGCCCAAGGAGATAGCACAGTTATCACTTGCTTTTCTGAAGTCAGATGGGCAGTTATGGTGGGTCTTTGATAAGTCTTTTTTTTCCTCAAATGTGGAAATAATTACTTGGAGGTTAGATTAGATGTTGGAAAACATTCATCTTGTCTAATTCCTCATTTCATCATCAGGGAAGCTGAGGTTTAAAGAAGGAGGAAGTAGCTTGCTAGTTACACTTGGTAGTAGAGTTGGCGCTGGAACCCAGGTCCTTTCCTGGAACCAGTTACTTCACTCCTTTCCACTTTAGAAAATGGGGGTGTGTGTGGAGGGGGGGAGCGGGGATCTAAACTCATTGAAATTTAAAGGCTTGTGGTCTGCAGGAGCAGGAAAAAATGATTCATGAATTAGCTGCTGGCCTTTCTCTGTTGACTCATTCAGTAAACATTTACTGACTGTCCACACAATTTGAACTCAGAAGGCAGAGAGAAAAGTGTCCTGTAGCAGGCAGCCAGGACCTGCTCCCAGGTAATTCACAACCTGTGCCCCTCCCCCCCCCAATGGATACTGCACCGTTATAAGATCCCACTCACTACTCTGGCTTTCTCATGCAGTTAGGTTGTGTCTGAGCGCAGGGGATGTTTCATACAGTGTCCAAATCGTCCAGGCTCCCCAGCGGCACAGCATCAATGCGAGGGGTTTGGAAAACCTCCTGATTTCTAATCCTGCCTGCCACACACTCTGTCCTGGGGGGGAAAAAAAAACATCTGTCCTGCTCTGGCCCCTTAATCATCGATTTAAAAACGAGAAGGGCAGCAAACTCGTGTGTGTAAGAGTTGGCGGGTCCATTTCAAATCATTTCAGACTTTAAAAGAAAACCTTGGGAATCTAGAGACCACGTGGAGTCCCCAAACATTCCTTCCCTCCTTTTCAGGGGGGGGGCCCCATCCTGGCTCTCTCCTATCGACCCTCCTTTTCCAGCATTCACCTCTAGAGGGCACTCGAGCTCCACGGCGCTCAGGACTCACTTCCGTTCGCCTTCAAGCTTCATTCTACGCAGGCGCACGCTTCGCTTCCGGGCGGAGGTGTCGCTTTCCGACGCGGCTCGGCCCGACGGCGCCTGCGCGGCTTGAGCCCCGCCCACCGCCCCCGGAAGCGCTTCCTCCTCCGCGGCCGCTCCTGCCGCTACCGCTGGCGCTGGCGCTTGGCCTCTCTAGGCCCCGGGCGGGGAGGGCGGCTCCTCCATGGTCCGGCCTGTCCGCCGGGGGTCACGGACCGGCCGCTGAGGCCAGCGTGGCTCGGGGGCGCTGCGACCCTGTCGTTCCGTCTCCGGTGAGTGATCGGGGGGCCGGGGCGGCGGCGGCGGCGGCGGCGGCGGCGCGGGCGGGGCTTCCCCTCCTCTCCGGGCGTCGCCCCCCCGCCGCGGCCCCTGCCGGCGGCCGGGTCGGCGTTGCCATGGCGACGGCCGGCGCGCTGACGTGCTGCCGTGTGTCCCCGCAGGTGCGGGGCGGGCCCGGGGGGCGGCATGGCGGGCCAGTTCCGCAGCTACGTCTGGGACCCTCTGCTGATCCTGTCGCAGATCGTCCTCATGCAGACCGTCTACTACGGCTCGCTGGGCCTGTGGCTGGCCCTGGTGGACGGGCTGGTGCGCAGCAGCCCGTCGCTGGACCAGATGTTCGATGACCAGGTAGGGCTGCCCCGTGGCGGGGGGCTTGGTGTGTGTGTGTGTGTGTGTGTGTGTGTGGTGGGGTTGCCATTGGCTTGCTTTGCAGGAGAGGGGAGGGTCCTGTCTGTCTTGGGATGTGTGTGTGTGTGTGTGTGCAGGGGCTTGGTGTGTGTGGTGTGTGTGTGTGCTTGAGTTGTGTCTGTGTGTGTGTGTGTGTCATCAGCTTGCTTTGGAGTGGGGTGGGTCTGTCCTGTCTGTCTTGGAATGTGTGTGTGTGTGTGTGTGTGTGTGTGTGTGTGTCATTGGCTTGCTTTGCAGGAGAGGGGAGGGTCTGTCCTGTCTGTCTTGGGATGTGTGTGTGTGTGTGTGTGTGTGTGTGTGTGTGTGTACAGGGGCTTGGTGTGTGTGGTGTGTGTGCTTGAGTTGTGTGTGTGTGTGTCATCGGCTTGCTTTGGAGTGGGGAGGGTCTGGCCTGTCTGTCTTGGGGTGTATGTGGGGTGTGTGTGTGTGTGTGTGTGTGTGTGTGTGTGTGTGTGTGTAGTGGGGTTGCCATCGGCTTGCTTTGCAGGAGAGGGGAGGGTCTGTCCTGTCTGTCTTGGGATGTGTGTGTGTGTGTGTGTGTGTGTACAGGGGCTTGGTGTGTGTGGTGTGTGTGTGTGCTTGAGTTGTGTCTGTGTGTGTGTGTGTGTCATCAGCTTGCTTTGGAGTGGGGAGGGTCTGTCCTGTCTGTCTTGGAATGTGTGTGTGTGTGTGTGTGCTTGAGTTGTGTGTGTGTGTATGTGTGTGTCATCGGCTTGCTTTGGAGTGGGGAGGGTCTGTCCTGTCTGTCTTGGGGAGGGTGTGCGTGTGCGTGTGTGTGTGTGTGGCTGCCATCGGCTTGCTTTGCAGGAGAGGGTCCTGTCTGTCTTGGGGTGTGTGTGTGTGTGTGTGTGTGTGTATGTGTGTGATCGACTTGCTTTGCAGGAGTGGGGAGGGTCTGTCCTGTCTGTCTTGGAATGTGTGTGTGTGTGTGTGTGTGTGCTTGAGTTGTGTGTGTGTGTATGTGTGTGTCATCGGCTTGCTTTGGAGTGGGGAGGGTCTGTCCTGTCTGTCTTGGGGAGGGTGTGCGTGTGCGTGTGTGTGTGTGTGTGTGGCTGCCATCGGCTTGCTTTGCAGGAGAGGGTCTGTCCTGTCTGTCTTGGGGTGTGTGTGTGTGTGTGTGTGTGTGTGTGTGTGTGTGATCGACTTGCTTTGCAGGAGTGGGGAGGGTCTGTCCTGTCTGTCTTGGTGTGTGTGGGGTGTGTGTGTGTGTGTGTGTGTGTGTCATCGGCTTGCTTTGCAGGAGTGGGGAGGGTCTGTCCTCTGTGTGTGTGTGTGTGTGTGTATTCGATGGGCTTGGTATGGTGTGTGTGTGTGTGTGTGTGTGTGTGTGTGTGATCGGCTTGCTTTGGAGTGGGGAGGGTCTGTCCTGTCTGTCTTGGGGTGTGTGTGTGTGTGTGTGTGTGTGTGTGTGATCGGCTTGCTTTGCAGGAGTGAGGAGGGTCTGTCCTGTCTGCTTTCAGAACCCCCCCACCCCCACCCTGGGCTGCACCGTCCGTAGCGTGCAGCGTGGACAGGTGATAGCAGCATTTGGTTCCCAGGAAAGGACCCGGAACACAGCTGCTTCTCAACGTCCCAGAGAAGCCGCGGGTTCTCTTCTCAGGGCCCCCGAGTCTCAGGTGTCGGCTTGTGAAAGGGCTTTGTTGGGGGTGGGGTGGGCAGTGGAGGAGGGGTTCATGGAAGCTGCGTGGACCCTGGTGCCAGGCAGACTTCCGCCTAAGTTCCACGTGCCAGCTGAGTAATCTGGGGCTGATGTCACCTCTGAACTTCAGTTTTCCTGCCTGTGAGAAATCAGAGCAGGGGACAGTCGGCCTCCCGGGGCCCCTGCACTTTGGATTCAGAGCCACTTGGTGTCCAGAGTAGCAGCTGTGGGGCGTGGGGGCACTTGGCCCGTTTTCCTCTTCCGGAAACGAAGCAGAATAATCCCTAGCGAAGGGTGAAGAGGGTCACAGGGTCCCGTGAGTTTGAAAGTGCTTTTGTCAAGTGGAAGGAAGCCAGAGAAGGGCTCTTTGCCGTTGAGAGGCAGCCTGGTCTGTGCTTATGATCGTGTTTTTTTTGTAGCACTCAGGTTCGTCACTTTTTTTTTTGCCTTTTGGGTCACACCTGGAATGCTCAGGAGTTACTCCTGGCACTGCACTCAGGAATTATTCCTGGTGGTGCTCAGGGAACCACATGGGATGCTGGGGATCGAACCTGCATCGGCCATGTGCAAGGCAAACACTCTACCCGCTGTGCTATCACTCCAGCCCCTGGAAGTCACTTTTCAAGAAGAGGCATTCGTAATGCTTAATGTCCACCATTGTTGCAAGGTTCTTGCAGGAAATCGTGGGTGTCACAGGCCTTTGAGAGCCCTAGGTGACAGGTGGGTGTTTGGTTTGTTCCTGCGTAAGGTGTGGCAGAAGTGACACACCTCGGGGACATGATTGTAGATCCTCTTGAGCTCCTGGGAAGGGCCCCAAAGAACCACCTCGTGCACCTGACCTGAATTCCAGACCAGGGGTTGGCCGTGTTTTTCGTCAAAAGGCAGAGATAGTGAAGGTTTTGTGCATGCCTGGCACTGCTTTACAAAAGCAGCCAGAGGCAATACTCAGGGAATGGAGTCGGGGGAGGGGGGGCTCCATAAAACCCTAATTTAGAAAAATTGGTCCTGGCCTATGAGTTAAGAGTTTGCAGCATCCCTGTTCTCAGCTTACTCTTGCTGTTTCTTTTATTGGATCACTTTGGGCAAGTGACTTGACTTCTTATTTCTCCTTTCTGGGGTGGGTGGGTGGTGCAGGGAGGGCTCCGCTTAGGGGTGCCTGTGCGAGCTTTTCTGCGCCTGAAGGGAGGAGCTGTCTCGGCGCTCTGGCTTGTGTCTGAGGAGACTCGGGGGTCCTGGAGTTCCGGGCCTTGTCAAGGCACTTCCCCAGTGCATCCCCCTCTGTGATGTCCCCCACAGATCCTGGGCTTCTCCACGCCCCCCGGCCGCCTCTCCATGATGTCGTTCGTCCTCAACGCCCTGACCTGGTGAGTATCACTAGTTCTGCTGTCTTTGCACTGAACTTGACTTCTGAAACGTAAACTCGAGACAGGCTCTGTCTGGCACTTGTTCTGAGACATCGAGGGTGGCAGTGGCTAATCCGGGGGCGGGGTCCGTCAGAGGCCTCTGTCTGTGAATGTTTTTGACTTTGCCGGAAAATTTTATACCCCGCCATGCACGTGCTCTGGGGGACGCTTCCAGCCCCTGCTTTGCACCGGGACTTGGGAATATGGGCTTGTGTTCATGCTCCATGTTTCTACTGGCCAAATTATTACCTGTTCTCCAGGCCCTAGGCTCTTTGGATGAGCACTGAGGCCTTTGGGTGACATTGAGGGGCGCTTTCAATCCCGCTGGGCTCCAAGAGACGGTATCGCATGGTGAGAAGAGCTTGGGCTCTGGGGACCGACTCACTGGCTTTACTCGTTGTCCAGGCCTATTTCCTCATAGTAAAATGAGGCTAATGGTGTTCCTCACCTCCTGGGGGTACAGGCATTAACACACAGGATGTCCTTAGGACAGTGCTTGTGTGTTAACCATTCCTGCCTTGGTCCCTGAAGACCAGGGACCAACTTGAACCTCATTTTGTCTCCCACCGAGAGATGTAAGCATTGCTTGATACTTAAAAATCATTTTTCACTTAATTGCAAATGAGAATGTCCTTTTTTAAAAAAAAACATTTTATATATTTATTTAGACTTGTTGGGTCATATCTTGCAATGCTCAGGGTTACTCTTGACTCAGCACTCTGGGATCACTCCTGGTGTTGCACGGGGACCGTGTGGGATGCCGGTGATTGAACCCAGGTTGGCCGCATGCAAGGCATACACCCTCCCCGCTGTACTATCCCATTCCATCCCAGAGGATATCTGATATTTTAAAAAAAAAAATAGGTTTCTGGCTTCTCCTGAAAATGGGAAGAGCAGCTGATTTTAGGCCAGCGTCCTAAAAGCAGCCAGAGTGATGGTTTGCACAGATGCAAGTAACTCCTGGCTTGGCTCTAAGTGGCCTGGGTATGTGTCAGGGTGTCACCGTCCCCCTCCAAACCTAGACACTTTCCAGTTGTCCCCAAGCTTCTACTTTGTTTTCCTTTCCAGCAGGACTCTGCCAGAGTCCTCTCTGCGTCTGGTTTTTGTCACCCTTTGCTTAACATTTCTCATGCTTCTGATCACTGTGGTCATTCAAAATAGTCCCCCCCTTAATAAAACCAGTCTGTCTAAGGCCAGGACAACCCAGTGACAACTCACTGCTGTCCTCTCCCCACAGCGCCCTGGGCTTGCTGTACTTCATCCGGCGAGGGAAGCAGTGCCTGGATTTCACTGTCACTGTGCACTTCTTCCATCTCCTGGGCTGCTGGTTCTACAGCTCCCGCTTCCCCTCGGCGCTCACCTGGTGGCTGGTGCAGGCCGTGTGCATCTCGCTCATGGCCGTGATCGGGGAGTACCTGTGCATGCGGACGGAGCTCAAGGAGATCCCCCTCAACTCGGCCCCCAAGTCCAATGTCTAGAATCGGGTCCCGTGGACGCCCTGCGGGGGCGCCAGGCTACTCAGACTCTGCACCGGAGCCCGTGGGTGTGGGAGACGGCGGTGAGAGTCCCTGAAGAAGGCAGCTCGCTGGAGCCGGATCACGGCTGCGAGGACGCCCCGTCTGCCCACGCCTCCGTGTCCGCGTGGGAGTCAGCACAGGGATCTCCGTTGGGGGAGGAACAGGACCCCAATCGTGTCGCTCTGGGGCCGCCATAGACCTGTCCACCAGCCTGTTAGTTTTTAAAAGCGGGGAGAAAAAAATCAAGGATATTTGATTGGCCAAACCTCCCTCCCTGGGACCGCTGTTCGCCGGGCTGTGTTGCCGGAGCGCAGCCGCTCTGTATGGAGAAACGCCTCGTTTCTGGAGTCAGAGCCTCAGGAGGAGATGGAGGTCCCAAGCCCTGGCTGATGTGAGGGAGAGCACGGCAGAGGGAGGAGCCAAAGGGAGGAGCCTGCACAAGGAAACACGCCCCCCCAGCTCTGCCTGTGGCTCTGTGCCCTCACCTCTGAGCCCGGCCAGCCTCCAGCTTTCAGGGCCCCGGAGCAGGACCCCGGGACTGCTCCTTGCCTGCCCTGGTGATGAGTCCCTGCCCGTGCTCCAGAAACGGCCTGGCAGCCCACGCCTCGCCCGCTGGACCTCCTCGCGGGTCCTCGTTTCTTTTTCCTGCCTTACTCGGGACTCTGCAGTGGGCCAGACCCGCCCTCCCGGCTCGGGCTGTGCCATTGTCCCAGGGAGCTGGGACCGTGCCGCTGAGATTGTGTCCTGGGGGCGGCCTTGGGTATCCTCTGTGAGGGGCTTGTCCTTCCCGTGTACATAAACGCAGTATTTTCCACGGTGCTGTCTATGCTTCCTTTGTAGTGTACGGGTGGGGCCGTGGGTGGTCGCAGCGGAGTAAAGCTGGATTCCCAGGCCGCCTTCCCCAGCCCCCGGAGGGTTCCTCTCTCCAGAAAACGTCTCTGTGTCCCATCCGCTCTAGCTGCTTCGCAGGCCTTGGTGAACTGCTTGGCCCAGTTCCTTCCTCGTTTCCTGCGGCCTCTGCAGGGGCCCACTGGACACTGGCTCAGAGCAGAGTGGGCATGGGAACCATCCCCCGAGCTCTTCAGTTCCCAGGAGCCCGCCCAGCTTTCCGCTTGAGGATAACGGGCCAAGAGGGGAGTCTGCCCGCTCCCCAGGAAGCCTAGCTTGCAGAGGCGGGGATGCACCAGGGTGAGACACCTTGGGAACCTGGGAACCGGAGGGACACAGCTAGCCACCTGGATGCCAGTCTTGACCGCCGGGCCCAGGAGGTGGCCCCAGCTGTGCTACCATGCCTGGCTCTCGGGTTCCTGTCTCCTGCTGCGTACTGCTGGCTGCGTGTGCCCTGTGGGAGGAGGCCTGCTGCGTGAATGGTCCTGGTTGGTGCCTATTGTGCTGTCATCTGAAATGACACATTTCTCCCTGATGGGTGTTGATTGGATTTGGGGAAAGCAGCCCAAAAGGGAGCTCCCCCCCCCCTTTTTTTATTGGACTGAGGTTTTGAAGGACTGGAGTATGGGGCCCACTGAGATTTTTGCAGCCTGTAAAGGAGCAGTTAAAGCAGAGTCCAGAGGTGGGGCCCAGAGAGCCCTGGGTAATGTCAGGGACGTGGGACACTAATAATCAGTAGCCTCTATTGAGCACCTTGAAGGTCCCAGCAGGGAACCCAGGGCCGGGCACTACTCAGAGCTGGAGCACTTGCCTTGCATATGTGGGGCCCTGGCTTGACCCTCCCTGCCCTGCAAACACAATGTGCCCCTCTGGAGTAGGGAATAGCATCTGCTGCTCACAGGCGGTGCCCTTGGTTACATGACAGGAGCTGCCAAAGCCAGCCCGTGGGTGCTGGCAGTGACATCGATAAACTGGAAATTTACCAGTAAAGGACCTGGGCCGCCTTCTGACTGATCGGTCCCGTCATCACTTCTCATCCTATCAAGGACCTTTGGCACTAAGGATGGGTGGGAGAGGTATACAGGGGTCAGGAGTGCTCCTTGCACGTGGCTGGGGCTCCTCACACCCTGTCCCCCTCGAATCACTGGGTACAGCCTGGAGGCCCCAAGAACCACCAGGAGTAGCTTGGATGATTTCTGGTGTCACAGTGCCCATGTGGCACCCCATCCTTGGTCATTTGCATTGAACCACTGATTACTTGGCCAGGAAACTGCCAGGAGGAGCCCTTGAGCACTGCTTGGGATCCTCCTCCCCAATACTAAGGACTTTATTTTTTTCCTCCTTTTTGGGCCAGTCCCGGTGATGCTCAGGGGATACTCCTGGCTCTGCCCTCAGGAAGGAATCTCTCCTGGCGGTGCTTGGGGGACCATATGGGATGCCAGGGATCGAACCCAGTTTGGCCATGTACAAGGCAAACGCCCTATCTATACTGCTGTACTCTCTCTCCAACCCCAGGACTTTTAATCCTTTATAAACATCACTAGACATTTATGTTTTTAATTTTGGGGTCACACACAGCGATGCTCAAGGCTTACTACTCCTGGGTCTGCACTCAGAGATCACTCCTGGCGTGCTCAGGGGGCTGTATCAGTTGAACCCGGGTAGGCCGTTTGCAAGGCAAGCACCCCATCCTGTATGATGGTCTCGGCCCCCAAACCCGACTAGGTTTTTGAGACTGTTTGCAGTGCCGTGGTGGATGATAAAGGGAAACGAGTGGCTCCTCCCGACCATGGAGCTGGCAGAGCTTGGCTTTTTGGGGCACTGAAGTCTGAGCCTCTGTTCATCCCACCTCCTACCTCAGCCGGAGTGTTCGGAGAGGGAAGGGGATGAACGCAGTTGTGCAAGGAAACCAGGGTCCTGGAGGACAGGAAGGGGTGCCAGGCCCGGGGGAGGAGCTAAGTTCAGGGGAGCCCTTTCTATTGTCTCCCCCTGCCCCCCCAATCCTAGGCACCCCAGCCCTGCCCTGGCTCATTCCAGGAGGGCCTGCCTCCAGGGGAGAAGGAAGAATCACTGTCCCCCAGCAGAGAGCGTCAGGGCTTCCTGGGCCACACGCTCAATAGATGTCCCAGGACCTGCTGGAGTGGGGCGAGGGGGACCAGGGCTGCAATGCGGGGGAAACTCCGTCGCAGACCCCAGCTGCCTCCCTGTGACCTCACAGAGCGCCCGCGGTGGTGTTGGACAGGTGGGCGCAGGGGGGCTGGGAATGCAGGCGCAGGGTGCAAGAAGTCCCCTATGGTTAAAAAAAAGTTCCCTATGAGACGGAGGGGGGGCGGGGGTCGGCGTCCCAGACAGACAGGGCAGAGCCGGCCGTCGCGTCATCCGTGCCCTATTTATTCATCTGCAGTCTTGCGAACATTCGCTCCCTTCCTTCCCTCCCGTTCCGCCGCCGGCAGAATCCGCATCCGCCCCGCGCTGCGCTCGCTGCGGGTCCTCGGGCTCACGCCACCTGCGAGCAGACACCGCGGGGTCGGGCTGCAGCTCTGGAAGCCGCCGCCAGGGGGCGCCGGGCCCCGCGCGCCGCCGCCGCCGAACGGGTGTGGGAGGTTCGGTCCACTCGGGGAGACCCGTCCCTTCCCGTGGCATCCGCGGACCCGGCTCCCTTCCTGCCTTGGGACTTCAGATGCCTCCTTGGAGGGTCTGGAGTGTTTTTTTTCCCTCTATCCTTTCCTCTCCCCCCACCCCGACGTTTGTTCCGAATAAAATCTTACAGCAAACAAAGGAAAACGGGTCCATCCCCGGGCTCTGGGATGCTCAGAACCCGCCTTGTCCCACCCCCCCCCCACCCCCCCCACCCCCGCCCCGCGACACATTTGCAAGCCCCTCGACTTGCTTTCTCGCACCACTGCCTGTCAGGGGTGCCCCGGCCGAAGCCCGACCCTTGCGCCCAGCACTGCCAGCCCCCAGCGCCCTGACTTGGCTGGCCAGTGGCCCTGTCCTACCCTGGGTGGACGGTACACTCGCAGCTTAAAGGAGCAGGAGCGGGTGCAGCAGCGGTTGATCCAGCGCCACTGGGAGGGCCTGCACAGCACCCGCGGCCTGGGCACGAGGATCCGCGTGGGCAGCCCCTCAAACCACAGCGACTGGCTCTCCACGACCCCTAGGGCCGTTCTGTGATGCAGGGTCTTCAGGGAGACAATGGGGGGCTCCCTGGTGGGAAGTCGCCCCATGGGACCTCCACCGGGCCAGGCAGTCCCGCTCGGGCCCTGCAAGGCCTCTGGGTCATTGGGTTCCACCTGCTCTAGCAGCTTCGCTACTCCAGGCCACTTGGTCTTGATCTCCCTCGCCCTCAGCGTGGGCACCGACTTCTCGCCCTCTACAGGCTCTTCTTTGGTCTCGATGTTCTCCGGCTTCTGTCTGCTCTGGGAGTTCCCAGCCTTCTGGAGCTCCTGGTCGTACTGTTTTACCATCTTGCAGAGCTTAGTATTCCTGGCAGGGAGAGAAATGGCCATTAGCAGAGCAAGCCTGGTCTAGACGGGCACACTCCCCTCCCCCCACCACACACACACACACAACCCTTGTCCCCTGCCCCCGTTCCTTCCTTCTGTTGGGTGCTGGGACTGCATCCAACAGTGCTCAGGGCTTACTCCTAGCTCTGTGCTCAGGGGTCACTCTTGGCAGTGCTCGGGTGCTCGGGGGACTGGATGCCAGACCAGGGATTGACTACAGGGTGGCTACATGCAAGACAAACACTTTTCCCCGACGGTGTTCTCCCTCTAGCTCCGCCATGCCGTGCCTGTCTTCTTAAACTGGGGCATTGTAAACAAATGTGGGTATGGGGGAGGGGAAGTCTGCAAACAATCTGACAATAGTAAAAGATTTTTAAACCTGTAATAGCCAGAAATCAATTTGAAGTAGACACCGATGTGCATGTTTCCACCAGTGTTTCTTGGATGGCAGACGGGGTAATGAGTGGGAAAAAAGTGAAGAAGCTTGGCCCTAGCTTACCCCTGGCAGCTTCTAAAGGCCACCCAGAGGTGCCTGGTCGGAAACTGTGGCAGAGACAGGCCAAAGTGGAGACCTCAGAGCCAACCCCCATTGGTCATTGGATTAGGGTTCCGTGTGTCTGGACTTTGGGGTATGGGCGAACGAATTTCCTGTCCTTGGAGTGCACCCCAAGTCACTCTAGGATTCTGGAGCAATAGCGCAAGAGCTCCCCTTCCAGCTCAGTGGGGCAGGGTGCCTCTGGGCAGCATCGCACCTGGGATGGGCACCGTATTTGAAGAGAGGGCCCCCTGCTTCTTGGTTTTGTCTTGTTTTTCTGCGTTTGGGACTATATCTGTCAATGCTCGGGTGACTCCTGGCTCTGAGCTCAGGAGTTACTGCTGGTGTTTGCTCCGGGGACTCAGATGAGTTGCCAGGGATTGAACCCGAGTGGGCCAAGTGCAAGGCAACAGTCCTACCTGCTATACGATCTCTCCAGCCCTCAAGGATGGAGAGATTTGGTGCCCTTCCTCCCCCGTGATTCTGAGGCATCTGACTTGGTGGTCCCTGCTTGCCTGCCTGGGGGCAGCCAGTGCAGGACCCCAAAGAGTGTGTGTGGTGGATTGGCGCCCCCTGCAGCATGGTGCCAGCACTGCAGCTGAGTGTCTGTGGAGCGGGCGGTCACTGGCTCTGGTGGTGAGTGGCCCTCACCCTCACAACAGCCCTGCAAGGGAGACACTACGGAGTGCAGAGACTTTTCAGAGAGACCATCTGGCTTCCAGTGGTGCTTCACAAACATCTGGTCGGAGCCAAGACGTTTAACCTCTTTGAATCTTAATTTCCTCATGTGTAAAATTGGGATGATTGGGCCAGAGAGATGGTACTGCAGATAAGGCACTTGCCTGGCATGCAGCAGACCCACATCTGATGCTCGGCATTGTGACACCTGAACTCAGAGGCAGGAATAGACCCTGATCACAGCTGGATGGGACCCCAAAACAATTTTTAAAAATGGCATCATTTTCTTTTTTTCTCTCTCTTTTTTTTTGGGGGGGGGGTCATACCCGGCGATGCACAGAGGTTACTACTCCTGGCTCTGCACTCAGGAATCACTCCTGGCGGTGCTCAGGGGGCCATATGGGATGCTGGGAATCGAACCCGGGTCGACCGCATGCAAGGCAAATGCCCTACCCACTGTGCTATCGCTCCAGCCCCAAAAATGGCATCATTTTCACTGGTGGTGGTGGGGGAGGTGGGGTGGGTCACGCCCGGCGATATTCAGCGCTTACTCCTGGCTCTGGACTCAGAAATTTCTCCTGGCAGTTCTCTGGGAACCATATGGGATGCTGGGGATCAAATCTGAGTCGGCCAAATGCAAGGCAAATGCTCTACCCGCTGTACTATCTCTCTCACCCCTTGGCATCATTTTCATATAGGAAATGGAAAAAAAATGAAATGAAATGAAAATGAAAAAAGAAGGAAAAAAAGAAAAGAGAAAATAAAAAGAAAATAGAATTGGTTGGATGGGGACATGCTTATCAAGTACTTTAGCATGTGCCCAGCAGATATGAGCATCCCTGCTATTCCTGTGGGGTCTATGGGGAAACAGTCTCGGAAGGAATTACAAGTCTGCAGGAGAGTATCAGGGACCTTTTGTGTTGGCGTGATATACGAGTGGGCCCTCTTGTGCCCTTGTCCCGGGTGGCCAAAACCGCTGCTCCTTTATCAGGAGAAATGGCACCAAATCCAAGCTGGCCATGTATCAGCTCAGTTCCCTGGGCCACACCCTTTCCCTCTCTGAGGCCTCCCTCAGTAACTGGGGGCTGAGAGGCCCCTTTCCCGAATCTGTGAGTGGGTTCATCTAAATGCCTTGGCAGGGGCCAGAGCGATAGTACAGCAGGGAGGACGTTTGCCTTGCACGTGATCGACCCAGGTTCAATCCCTGGCATCCCATATGGTCCCCCAAGCAGTATCAGGAGCAATTCCTGAGTGCAGAGCCAGGAGTAACCCCTGTACATCACCAGGTGTGACCCTAAAAAGAAAAAAAAATCTAAATGCCTTGGCAGGTTCTGTTTCTAGTAACTGTCAACTATTGGCCGCTTGGCAAGCTCACCGAGGGGATGTCCGGAGGACCCTTGGAACTCTGAGCAGTGACTTCCAACAGGCTTTGGCCAGGTTATACAGTTCTTGAATCCGGTGGTTGGGGCTCTTGAGTATCTTCAAGAGTGACAAGTTTTTTAACACCTGTCAGGATGGAGACACCGGGAAAACACAGACGGTTCCGATTTGTTGCGCGCTCAGCCTCCCACTTTTCACCCCGACAGGGACTCAGCACAGAGCTGGGCCTGGTGTCTGCTTGGGTCCCTCAGCCAGCTGGGGGCTCTCCCAGGTGGCCACCGACTTGGGCATCTCACCACTTTAAGACGGTTTCGCTTGATTGTTTTTCTGACAGGCTGCTGTATCTTGCTCTGGAATGCCTTGTCTTGCATCTGAGAGCGGGGGCGGAGGAAGAGAGAGAGACAGAGAGAGACAGAGACACAGAGACAGAGAGACAGAGACAGAGAGTCAGAGAGAGCCAGAGACAGAGAGGGGTTGCAACACAGGCGGAATGTCCCACAACGCCTCTGTTTTCCCTCTCCGTTTGGCATGCGGGCCAGCCCTAGAGGGAGAGTTTGGTCATCTTGCCCGAGGGGGCAGGAATGAGAAGACCTTTCTAGACTCTCCTGATCGCCCTTCACCCTTCACCGTCTCTCCCTGCCACGCTGCCCGGGCACAGCCCGGTCCTTTTTCGAGTTCCCCTCCAGGTCCAGGCTCAAGTCCCACCTTGGCAACCCCTCCATGCCTGAGCCTCTTTGCGGAGTGACTCATGCTGGGGGATCGGGGTCTCAAAACAGATGGAGCAAGGCTCGGACCTGCTGCTGCCTGTGCCCTGCCCCTGCCGCCCAGTCAGCAGTGCTCAGACTGAGGAGCAGCTGGTGTGTGCGGGAGCCCCCAGACAGGGGCGCTGTGACATCACTGTGACAGAGCAGGGCTGGGTCTCCAGGGAGGGTGAGTGGCAGAGGTGGAGGAAACACACCCCTCTGTGGAGTGGCCTCGCGCATCGGAGCCAAAGCAGCCTGGACGGTCACACTTCTCTGTGAGGTAAAAGGAGCATCCCATCTTTGCTTTTGTGAGCAGGATGGTCTGTCATTTGCTGAAGGTCACACATGCTGAGGAAGGGCAGGGTGCTGGGAGCCTCGGGTCTGAAGTTCACTGCAGAATCGGGGGCTCCCATACCATTTTCTTCCATTCACTGATGTTGCCGGGGCTGACCGGGGACCTGCTACCTCTCAGGTACTGTTCTAAGCCTGGCAGGAAATATCTGCAGGGAGATCCCACTGCACTGGACAGGAAGCAAACTCTATGTGTGCGCAGAAATATTTACCCATGGACTCTCTGAAATGTAGCACTGTAGCACTGTCCTCTTTTTGTTCATTGATTTGCTCAAGCGAGCACCAGTAACGTCTCACAACAAATTGTGAGACTTGTTGTTACTGTTTTTGGCGGAGGAATCGAACCCAGTTTGGCCATGTTGGCCGTAGTGGAGATATACAGAGAAGCACATGTATATATCTTACTGCAAACAAAGGAAAACGGGTCCATCCCCGGGCTCTGGGATGCTCAGAACCCGCCTTGTCTCCCTGCAACACATTTGCAAGCCCTTCAGTTTGCTTTCTTGAACCATTGCCTCTCGGGGGTGTCCCGGGCCGAAGCCCGACCCTTGCTCCCATCACTGCCAGCCCCTAGCGACCTGACTTGGCTGGCCAGTGGCCCTGTCCCACACTGTAGCAGTGTAGCACTGTCCTCCTGTTGTTCATCGATTTGCTCGAGTGGGCACCAGTAACATCTCACAACAAATTGTGAGACTTGTTGTTTCTGTTTTTGGCATATTGAATACATCACAGGGAGCTTGCCAGGCTTTGCCGTGCGGGTGAGATACTCTTGGTAGCTTGTCGGGCTCTCCAAGAGGGGCGGAGGAATCGAACCCAGTTCAGCCATGTCGGCCGTAGTGGAGATATGTACATGTGCTTCTCTGTATGTTTATTTTAAAATTTATCAGTAGTGGCCAGGAATGCAGCCCAGAGGTAAAACACTTGCCCCGTACATGTGAGGTCCTGAGTTCCATCTCTGCCATGGCCAAAGAAAAAAAAAGGGGGGGGGGAGAGGAAAAAAACAATTTACTCATAGAAATCCAAAAGAATTCCCTATAGCCAGTTTATTCATTTTTTTTTCTTTTTGGGTCACACTTGGCAATGCACAGGGGTTACTCCTGGCTCATGCACTCAGGAATTACTCCTGGTGGTACTCGGGGAACTATATGGGATGCTGGGAATCGAACCCGGGTTGGCCGTGTGCAAGGCAAATGCCCTCCCTGCTGTGCTATCACTCCGGCCCCTTTATTCTTATTTTGACTAGTTCCTGTATGCAGAATTAGCTTGTGGTGGTGATGGACAAACAAGTGTAGTAGGAGCTGAATTCTGATGTTCTTATTGATGCTAAAGAGGAAGAACAAAAATAAAGATGAGAAAGAACAAATACTCTGGAATTCTCTCATTTATCAGTGACATGGCTGGCCGATTTGCTGTGCTGAATATATTTTCCGGGGCCGAGATCTCCAAGCCTACTTGGATTGGGGCCGAGCATCCTCCACCCAGATCCTCCAAATTCCAGTAGGCAGGGGTCACACCCACCAACTGGCCCCCTGGCGCCCGTGTAATCCCATCAACGGCCAAGACTCAGAGACTATGAAAACCAGCTCCCGGAACTGCGCGGCCGCAAATGCCGTGTGACATCTTATTATGACATCTTATTATCTCATTCCTACTTTGGACAAACTGGCAGGCTACCGAATGTAGCCTGCCCACACGGCAGAGTCTGGCAAACTCCCTGTGGCGTACCCAATATGCCAAATACCAGTAACAATGATGGGTCTCATTCTCCTAAAGAGCCTTGAATATAATCTCAGGGCTAGGATGAAAGAGACGTTACTGGGGCCTGCTCGAGGCAATCGACGAATTTGTGATTTTGTGTGTATATGTGTGTTGCTACCTATTGTATAAGAGCTGAAGACAGGATTCACGTTTATGCTTAACCTGCGTTCTTGACACTTCCTCCATTCCTTTCTCTTGGGAGTAGAGAGTAGTTAAGGCCACACTCAGGGGTGATCAAGTTTTCCTTTGGCTCCTTTGACTCTGTGCTCAGCGATCACTCCTGGTGATGCTTGGAGGACGCTGTGTGGACTGGGATCGAAACTGGGGTCAACCACATGCAAGGCTAGCACCTGAACCCCTGGACTGTCCCTCTGGCATCCATTATTTCACCACGGTGGACAAACTTTAGTAAACAGCCACAGAACAAATAGGTTAGACTGCAGGCCACACAGTTGCAACCACTTTACTGTCTTTATGAAGGCAGCTTAAATAATATGCAAATGAGTGGGCACAATTAAGTGCCCGTAAAACTTTATTTATGAAATAAGTTGATAGGCTGGAATTTTAGCCTCTGACTAGGTCCTTCCTGCCCTAGACAGATGCTTCTCAGCCTTCTGTCCTACTGATTGACCCCCTAGTCTTGTTCTGAAATACCCACCCCCACCATTGTTGTGGTTTTTACCTGGCCCCTGAGATCAAATGGCCACCGAGGTTGTTTGGTCTAAAAATAACTGGTTGAGGGCCTGGGGCCTGGGAGATAGTGCAAAGGCTGAATCACAAGTGACAGATGAGACAGAGCCTGGATGAGACCCTGGAGTTCCTCTTTTGGCACCAGGAAGCCTTCCCCTCCCTATTTAGAATTGGATTATTTTTTATAGTAAGCATAGAAAGTTGTTCTTTTTTATTTATTTATTTATTTATTTATTTTTTGGGGGGGTCACACCCGGCGATACATAGGGGTTACTCCTGGTTCTGCACTCAGGAGTTGCTCCTGGCGGTGCTCAGGAGACCCTATGGGATGCTGGGAATTGAACCCAGGTCTGCTGCGTGCCAGGCAAATGCCCTTGTTCTCTGTGCTATCGCTGTAGCCCCTATTATTTTTTCTTTTGTTTTGTTTTTGTCTTTGGGTCACACCCGGCAATGCTCAGGGGTTACTCCTGGCTCTGTGCTCAGCAATCACTCCTGAAGGTATTTGGAGGACCATATGGGATGTTGGAGATCGAGCCCAGGTCGGCTGCATGTGAGGCAAATGCCCTCTCCGCTGTCCTATCGCTCTGGTCCCAGATGTTAAAGAGTTTTGGGGGAGGTGTTTGGGCTGTACCTGGTGGTGTTCAGGGGTCTGTGTAGTGCCAGGAATCAAACCTGTACTACTATCTCAGCCTTGAGATTTTTACTCAGCATAATGCTAGTGAGATGATGGGTGATTGCATGTATCAATGATTCTTTTACAAGCTTTAAAAGAAAATAACTGTAGATTCACAGAAATCTATTCTTTTTTTTTTTCTTTTTGGGTCACACCCGGCAATGCACAGGGGTCACTCCTGACTCTGCGCTCAGGAATTACCCCTGGTGGTGCTCAGGGGACCATATGGGATGCTGGGAATTGAACCCCGGTCGGCCGCGTGCAAGGCAAACGCCCTACCTGCTGTGCTATCGCTCCAGCCCCACAAAAATCTATTCTTAAAAACCCACATGGGGGAGATGGAGAGATAGCCCAGGGGATAAGGTTTTGTCTTGCCTCCCTCCCAACCCTGCTGGATCCCGACACCACATATGGTTCCAGGAGCACCGCCAGGGATCACACTTAAGCACAGAGTTAGGAATAGCCCTTGAGCGCTTCCAGGTGTGGCCCAAACACCTTCCTGCCAAACAAAGCAAAAGAAAGCAAAAGAAAACAAAAATGGATGAGCAAACAAGAACAAAAACCTCCACAGAGTTCCCTTCACGGGGTTCCCCAGTAACATTCTACTTGGCTACAGAGCAATAGCAAAAGCATGTGCCAATCCCTGGAGCCATCAGAATCAACAGACCAAACTATCCCTAAGGCTCCTCCTCGCTTTCCATAACCACATCTACCTCTCCTTCCTCCTGGCCCTAGTCCTGGCAATTTAAGCTAACCGCACCAAAGGTTTGACTTTTATTAGAAGCTTGCCAGTTTTATTGATTATGCCAGAGAACAAGCTTTGGGAGCAGGGATGTGGTTCAAGGGGCAAAGCACATGCCAGGGTTCCATCCCTGGCACCTCTGTCACTCCGGCATCCCATATGGCCCCCCGAGTACCACCAGGAGTGATTGCTGAGCACAGAGCCAGGAGTAACCCCTGAGCATTGCCGGGTGCGACCAAAGACAAAAACAAAACAAACAAAACACAAAAAACAAAAACAAAAAACACAGTGCCCCTGCCACTACCATAAAAAAAGAAAGTATTTGTCTCTTTGCTTTTTTTCTCTACTGTTCTTGAATTTTTTTTAATTTAAGATTTAAATTTTAGGATTTCTTTTTGCATTTCTGATTTTTCTTAAGGTAGAGCATTAGATAATCAAATAGATGCTTTTCCTGCATTGCTCTAGCTGTGTCCTACAAATTTATTTTTGTTTTGTTTGGGGACCACACCAGGCGATACTCAGCGGCTATTCCTGATTCTGCACTCAGGAATCACTTCTGGCAGTGCTCAGGGGACGATATGGGATGCTGGGGATCAAACCCTGGGTCGACTGCATGCAAGGTAAGTACCCTACCCGTAATACAATCTCTCTGGCTCTGAATTATGCAATTTTTAATGCTGTGTTTTCATTTGGTCAAAAAAAATTGTTTTTTTTTTTTTTTTGCTTTTGAGTGGGTCCCTAAAAACCTAGTGGTTTTTCTTAGGTGCTTCTTCAGATTTGGTTCTTGGCGGGGGTCACTGCATGGGGTGGGGTGAGACATACCCTATGGTGCCAGAGATTGAACCTGGGCTTCTAAATACCAAGACACATACCAGGTGATCTCCTTCATGCACTCCAGCCTGTTGAAACTTCCTTGGCCGTGGTTAGCTATTTTTAATTTCCCTTGAGACTTTCACTGTGATCATGGATTATTTAAAAGTATGTCATTGAATCTGTACTTGGAGACGTTCCTGCTAGCTTTCTGTTACTGATTTCTGGTTTGATTCTCTTGTGGTCAGAGAACACATGTTTTTGATTCTTTTAAGTTTTTTTGAGTTTTTTTTTGTTTTTTGTTTTTGTTTTTGTTTTTCCCTCTTAGGACCTAGGATGTTTGTCATGGTGAAAATTCCATGTGCTCTTGTAAAGAACATATTACTTGCTACTGTTGGGTGAAATATTTGTTAAAGTTTCATGAGATGCTCTGGGTTGATGTTTTTGT